CCCCAGGTTCCGCCAGCGCCGAGGTCCGGGTTCAGAGCGGCCGTAAGGGAACGGAGGGCGCTGACTGTGGCTGCAGTCACGGGCTGCCAGGTGGGAGTGACCTCCAGAGACGTACGTTGTCAGGCACAGCGGGCCAGAGCCTCTTCCTTTTCCTCTGCGTCGTGAATATTGACAGCAGAAGTATTTTTCATCATTTTTATGGAAGGAGATATTAGTTCTTTAATAACATAAACAAAATGAAATACCTTAAACCGTGTTCAGTGTTTGCTTTTCCAGCCTAGCTTTAAATGACTGTGGAAGGGGAATCCTTCCGCACATTGTGCTGGTGGCTTCGTGAAATCCTCCGCGCCTTGCCCAAACAGAAACATTCACAAGAGCTTTGTGAACCCAGTGAAACTGTAAATGACCCGTTTGGGGTTTTTTTGCTGCAGGGTGCCAAGGCTTTAACTCTTTCCTCGATGGCTGATACCTCTTGTTTCGATCAGCATCCTTTTCAGGCCGTGAATTTCCTTGCACCCCTTCACCGTTTTGAAGGCTCAGCCAGCTTGTTCTTCTGCAGTGCTTGGGCCTTCTCCAGCTGCCTGACTGTTTCTGGAATAACGAGCGTTAATACTCCAGGGAAGCCTAATTCCAAGTGAAACTCTTCTGGTGTAAGTTGCATAGGTGACCACAAACGTTTTAGCTGTAGCAGCTCCTGATACGCGTCATTTGGAGGCAGGGCTGGGGCGGAGGAGCCTGCGACAGGACTCCTAGCTTCTCCCCCAGGGCGGAAGAGAAGCTTTTCCGTGAACGCTTTCATCTCCGTTACAACACTGAGTGTGCCACCGTGCTCAAAGCTGCCTTGGCTCTTGTCCCAGCAAGGATCGGGGCCCGCGGCGTTTGCTGCTTCCAGCCAAGCGAGCCAGGGAAGCCGGGGCGGGTGGGATGTCCTCGCTCCAGGGGAGGAGCAGCTCACTACAGCCCGTTCCTGACAGCAGCTGACGGGCGGTTTGTAACCTCTACGGCAACGCTCTCGTCGCGGTGAGGAAGTGTTTCTGGTCTCTTGCCTACATTTCCCTCACGACAGTCTGAGGCCGTTGCTTCTTGCCTTGTCTCCTGTGCACGTGGGGAAGACACCAAACTGGGAGGTGTGG